TTCCTCCAATTTTTTCTATCCAAGCTAAGCCTAACTTCTCATTTATGCACATTTAAATATAGGATTAAGATTTTGGAAGAAAAAACTATTTCCAAAACGAATCCAATAAGTATACATAGTTTTAAATCTTGTATCTATACTTATATGTATATATAATAAAATACTTGTAAAAGATCACATTACTTAATTATAACTCAAGAAAATGGAGAGAAGATAAAAGCAAAAAAGAAAATATTATCAATATTTGTGTTTGAATGAGCAAGAGATAACAAAAAGAAAAGAAAATAAGAAAATATCATAGTAGATATAATAACTTTGTATGAAAATAGATATAATGTTCAATGTAATTAATAGTTATCTTTATAAATGTAATTTGAAGGAAAAATTTATATTAAAATTAAATTTATCAAAATAATTTAAAATCAAATTATTGAATATTTTTTCATGTTATTTATATACTCCCACCGTTTAAAAGTATACGGCATTTTTGAAGGAGTTGAATGTTTAAAAATATAAGGTATTTTTAGTCTCAAATTATTGTCTTGTTTTTCAAAAATACCTCTATTAATAAATAATTTTATATTTATTAAAGGGTATTTAATAGAGATAAATATGAAAAGATAAGGTTAGTTTAAAAGTAAATAATTATTTTATTAGAAACTAAATTTAATTAAAAATATTTTTATATTTTAGTCGAAGGGGGTATATAAGAGATGAGTGGAAAATGAGTCGAATGAGGAACAAGAGTAGAGCTGGTAATTTGGGCCGAGCCCGACAGGCCAGCTCGAACCCGCCCGAAAAATTTAGAGCCAAGCCCGAAAAAAATATTATTTTTTTATTGTTTGGGCCTATTCGGGCAGCCCGAATAGGCCCGAGGAAATTCAGGCCAAGCCCGATCGGGTTCGGGCTTGGCCCGACCCGAATAAAAAAAATAATTTTTTAAAAAAATATATAAAATATGATAAATATTAATTAATTTTTCAAATTTTATATCATTTTATACCAAAATACTATATATATAAGTGTTTTAATGTAGTTATTTTTTAAAAAAATTAAAATAGTTATATTTCATATTTTTATTATTTTTAATCAATAAAATATCTCAAAATAATATTAAAATATATTTTAATATTGATTTTAATATTTTAAGACCCAGTTTTGTTAAAAAAAATTTTGAGTCCTATAAATCATTTGCATGTAAAAAATAATTTTATATTTTTAATAAATTAAGAGAATTAATTTTAAAGTAAAAATAAAATTGAAAATAATTTTAAAAATAAAATTTAGGCATGTATGAATTTCTGACTCCACTACTAGATAAACATAATAAATAGAATAATATTCTTGAACAATTACTTGGTTATTATCCATGCTAGATTTAGTTAAAAATTAAGAGTAAACTAGAGTAAGAATTCCTTTTATATAAGAGTTAAATAATATAAAAGTTAAAGAAAAATGATTTCAAAAAAAAAATATTTTACTCATAATTAAATAATTTTTTATATAATATAATGATGGCAATTTTTTTATATTCAAAAAAATGAAAAGTATAATTTACCTAAAAGTTATTTAAAACTTTGAACTAATCGAAATAATAATTTTAAATTAGTAGTCTAACTGTGATTGAATTGGGATCAGCTTAATCATAACTAAAATAATATAATTTAATTAAAGTATATAAAATATTTATATATGACTATGATAAGAGCAATATTTAAACAACTACGACATTTATTTACAAGTAAAGGAAACATTCATGAATAAATTATACATAATACAACAAAATAATAACAGAGCTACTTAAATACAAAGTTGATAAATTATTTTTATTTTATTCTTTTAAAATTAAGATAATATTTTACAATTAATAGAATTATTTAAAAATTAAAATTGGTTCAAAAAATACAAAAAAAATATTTTTAAAAAGTTTCTGATATTCGGGCCAGCCCGAATAAGCCCGAAGCCCGAAGGTGTTAGGTCTGGACTTGGCTATATGGGCTTTTTAGAAGGGGTAGGATGCTTTAAGCCCGATCCGAATAAGCCCGACCTGAATTGAGCCCGGCCCAAATAAATACGGCCCGCCCGAATTACCGGCTCTAAACAAGAGGACAAAAATAAAGAGGGTGAGTAATCAAGGAGTGAGAGAGCTAACTGAGATGTGAGAGAAGAGTGAGATAGTGTAAAATGGCCCCACTGAGATTGTTGTCACTGTTGACTCAATGACGACCCTCACATGGGAGAATTCCAATAAGTAGACCACAGCCATTGAACTCTCACGAACATGTGCTTCCTTGTTTGCCTTATTACCTGACACTTCCAAGTGCATTATCCCTGTTTTCTTGGATTAATCAAACTTCATCTTGGCTCACATATCAATCCTCAATTATTTCCACCCTCTTCTCTTTTGAATAGAAATTATTCTGAATGCATAAGCCATCCCTCTGAAAACATTCTTGCTTTTTCATTGCCCATGCGACAATGGCATGTGCCTTTACATTCGGATGACGTTATACTGCCTTTGGTCTTGTGTATAGAATCAAGAGAGAAGATTTTTTCCATCTTATTTATAAATTATTATTCTCTTTATTTAAAAATATAAAATATTTTTAATATTTCATGGTGTAATAATTACCTTTTTTAAAAGTGCCCCTATTGATAATGATCTTATATTTATTATAGGGTATTTAATAGGAGTGAATATGAAAAGATAGGGTTAGTTTAAAAGTAGATAACTATTTTATTGAGGAGTGAGATTCAATTAAAAATATCTTATATTTTTTAATAGAGGGGGTATTTTAGAACTAAATAATTCATGAGAAGGGCCCCAAAAAATAATTAAATACTAATAAATAAGATAACCTGATAATTTGGATTTCTGGCAAATTTTCCCCCTTGTAAATTTAGGATAAGATTTTCTGTTAATTTATTTTGTTAATCCAAACAATTTTTCATACGTTTATTATGGAATTTATTTTTTTATATATTGATACACTTTTATACTCTATTGGGGGGTTATAATTACATATCAAACTGTTCAAATATTACTCCCTCCAATCTAAACTATAAGTAGCTTTAATAATATTTTACAAACAAATACAATTCTTATTCTTATAAAAATATATGCTCCTCTGTCTTTACGTATAAAGTATTTTAACCGAATCTCTCATATCAATAAAAGTTTATTATTTATTTGAAGTCACATTAAATCAAAATAATTTTCCAATTTTGCTCCTAATAATGTCAATTAATATCACAGTGATGGTCACGGTGGTAAAGAACTCAATTAATAATTCTTCCCCTTTCTAAGAAAAGGACCAAATTGTTTAATTACTCAAAAATATCATGACACCCCTTATATTTAGAGATAAAATAAGCTTCTAGAGAACACCCTATATATAGGGACGGAGGGAGTATTGTTTTCATTTTTTTATCCTTAATTCCAATTTATGATGAGATGAAGGTCATAAATTCACTAATACAAGAATCTCAATTAATAAATATAAGGGGTAAAATGAAAAAATAAAATTTTATAAACACTAAATTATTTATATTTTAGATCAAAATTGACTGAAAAAATGCTTAGAAGTTGGACTAGAGGATCACACACACACCAGCACAACACACAATATAGGCTTTGTATTATTGTATTCAAATTTAGAACATAGTACGACATCCTTAAACCACATTACCACGCAACTGAAATCAATAAGGTACCTACCACACAGCTGGACCCAAAAGGATCGCTACTTATTCTCTCAAGCCATTACACAATCATTAAACCACACAACAATCAACTTAACACAATTACATTATTAAAGCCTTAACGAAATCACAGAGTGACTTTAATTATTGACTCTAATATTACCAACTTTAATGCCATATATAATGAAATTACAGAACGACTTTCCTTATTGACGAGTGCGTTATATTTGCCAGACGTTCTCTCTTCTCATTGACAAGTATCTCAGCCATCCTGCATCGATAGCAAAACAAAACAGACTCAATAACAAGACATTAAGAACTATATATTGAAGATGCCAAAGTAAGATTCTTGTTTGATCTAGCTAGGGTTTCAAGTTGTGCGAGTAAACTCAGAAGAAATAAGCTATTTGTTAGGACTATGTATATGTATTTACTTTTCAATGGCCTCTGCATTTGTTGGACCACCGGGTATAGGTTCAAGCTTGAAGGTGTCCAAGTTCATCCTTGTCTCAGTTTGGTTTAACAGATTCTTTGCTAAAGCTTCAAGATCACCCAAGTTCTTCTCAGTGGCGCAATCCAAATCAGCCATATTTTCACTTAATACATCCGTCTACGGAATATGAATGAAAGAAATGGTTAATTCAAATGTGTGCGTAATAACAGGCTTTCAAGTTGCCTTTGATGAAACCTGGTTCTAACACAAAAGAACACTACATCATAATTCCAAAACTCAAGGCCCAAGTTCATGGGTCCTTAAATTTTGTTACATATTAATTATGAAGCCTAGCTTTATCCAATATGAAACTTTTCATACCGACTCAGGTCCACTTACATATTTTCTTAACAATAACATGCATATATAGCCATGTGTTGAAGTGCATGTGTGGATGATAAAATATGAGATGATGGATGGATGTACCTGAATTCGAAGGTAGTTGCTGTCAGCTCCAAGGGCATGAAAAACAGAGGCGAGATGATAGTCAACAAGGTCCTGACTTCCATCAAGTGCAAATTCAATACTTGGCTTAGCCCATTTCAAAATACCCCACTTTTGTGCATCTTTGGCGTTGTAAACATTGGGCTTCATGAATCCAGTTCCAAAAGACACCAACACGATTCTGTATAGTCGTTTGGTTCAAAGGTCGAGAAATCTGGATTGTTCTTGTTATTTGTTGTGTCACCTCACTTATAGCAATTAATGCCTGCAGTGTTTTCAAGTCCATTCAGATATAATAAATTATAAATGTCATAGTTTTACATATAATAAATTAACATATATATATGCAGGGAGTGATTAATTAGCTTACAGGATTATTGGCTATGATACCACCATCAATCAAATTGAATTCTGTTTCACCATTTTTGAAAGGATAAGGTGGTAGATAGGTTGGTGCAGCTGAAGTTCCAATGCAAATATCTGATAGCTGGGCGTCTAAGCCAGGGAGGACGTCGCACTCTGTGTTTAGCTGCATCATGCATGCATCCATTATTTTTATAAACTTTTGATGATCATTAACTACAGCAAATTGTTGCAACCCTTCAAATTTGTTTGATAACTAGGATGGCTTTCAATTTACAGTTTTGAACTAATAAATTTATTTTGTTAGAAAATACAATCATAATTTTTTTATTTAAAAAAGCTCCATATCTTTTAAAATAAAATACCTGTACTATTTAATTTTAACATGGGTGCATGGTCCAAATTCACGATAATCCCGCGGCTTATTTTTATAAAACATTTTTAAATAATTGACATAAAAAAATTTCTTTTATTAGTTGACATGCCCAAAATATTTTCCCCTGAATTTACATTTTCATAATTAATTCACATAATTTCACAGTTTTTTTAGGGGCCTTTTAGGTGAAATCTATCAACTGTTCTTAACATGTTACAAAATGCTTTATAACAATAAACAGGGAGAATATCAAAAATTGAGAATGAATTAACCAATAAGCATGGGTCCTAATAAAATAAACTATAGTCACTTGTACATGAGGTCTTAAGTTCAAGTTCGGGTTTATGTAAATGCTAAAAACACATCTCTCGGAGAGCTATCTTCAATTAAACTTGATAATGCTTAAATTTAATTCAGTTGGATAGCCATATTTAAAAGAAAAAACATAATGGAGAATGAAGACGACCATTATAATATGTGTGTGCACCTTCAAGCTTGAGAAAACAGTGGGTCGGACTTGTTTCATATCGAATGTTGGGATTACAACCCTAGTCAATGTGTCATGCAGTCTTTTTCCTTCCAGATAGAACTGTATTGCACCATGTAAATACTCTCCATCGTACTTGGGCTTGTAGAGATAGTTCCAGATAGATTTGAACCAACTTGAATAAAACAATATTGAAGAGGATTACGTGAGTACCATATAAAACATCCAAAATTGAACAATTTAAAACCTTAAACAGTACTTGAGTTTCTCATCACCGAACTACTTTCAAGGAAAATTAGTTATACGAATTTGAAATTTACGTACTTTTTTGGGGGGAAAATTCTGGGGATTGTTTTCTGTAGAAATCTTTAATTTGTGGAGCAGAAAACATAGGACGATGGTCCCCGTCTGGGGCTGTGAGCATGGCAGTGATGATTCCACCTGTGCTAGTTCCAGCGATCAAGTCAAAATAGTCTGCGATCCTCGCATTTTCATGCCCAGAAACTTTCTGAATCAAATAAAGAATGGAGAAAAATCATATCTTAACTCAACTGACGAGTGACCCAGACTTACATACTATGATAACAATGTACGTACCTGCAACTCTTCCTCTAGTTTCATGAGTAGAATGGCAGGTATGATCCCTCTAACCCCACCTCCGTCAATACTGAGAATAGTGACAACCTTCCCAGCTGATGGAGGCGGTAGCTTTGCTGTTACTTCCATTACTTATCCAGCAATGAAGGTCTCAGAAAAATGATCAGAGAGAGAGAGAGAGTTAGGGATTGCTTGTGTGCTCTTCCTTCGTTGGTCTGAATGGTATTTATAGACCCCTCATCGGCGGGCTACAAATTTTTATATTACTTTCTTCTTGAAAAAAAAAAAAAAAATCTTATGCGTTTGTGTCCTACGCCTGGCTCATTTATTAATGACTTAATTGTATTGTAGATCAAGAGATCTCGTCTAGGTCTTCTCTCTTTATAAATAATGAGAGTCAAGCCGGCCATTATAAATTATTCCAAGTGCTGTCGATTTAAATTTGGTCGTTATAAATTATTCCAATATTAGAAACGTACGTCAGTAGATATAGGGCTGGCAGACTGGCAGTTTTTTGTTTGAATTATTTTTTCAGTTGTAGAAAGTAGTATTTTCCCCCAAGGTTAGGACGAGAATTTATTTTCAAAAATTTGTCCATAACATTTCTCTTGTGAAGCTTGGGTACTGTTGTGATAGAAATTTCATAACAATTCTGTGAAATAAGTCGTGAGAAAGATACATTGCATTGGTGCGAACTAATTTTGCGGAATAGTAAGTCTGCCAGCGGGGAGAAGAAACGAGCAAGTAATATATAAATCTCGTAAGGCTTGTTCTCAGGGATTGTGTATTGTGAGGGGCAAATAGGAATATCAGTACTGTTGAAATATTTTTAAGGGGAAATATCATTCAAGGACCATTGAAACAATTTAATATCAAACAAAGATCAAGAGATTCTGAAAATATCAATATAAGATTATAAGATTGATTTAAAAATAATTTTATATGATAAAAGACTATAACGCCCCTGTTTTTCTTTTCTTCTTTTTTTTAAAAAATTGTCAACTAGCGAATTGTTTTTTATTAAATGTGAATTAATACTTGTTAATAAACCAAATGACTACTTATTAAAAACATGATCTTTTTTAAAACATGATTTCTCACCAACCAAACTCTTTTAAATTCTTGAACTTTTCAATTAGTGAATAGCTTCTTTGTATGAAAATGTATACTTGTTAATTACATATGATTACTTGTTGAAATATGACCTTCACTTGTTCCTTTCCACATCCAAGCTCTTTTAGATTCTTGAAATTGTCAATTAATCAATGGTTTCTTGTAAATATAAGTAAGTACTTATTAATTAACAAATGACTTTCTTGTCATTAAGCATGGTTACTATGTCTTTTCCCCACCTAACATTATTTTCAAATCAGTCCCCTGATCTTGCGACTATATTTCAGAATCATTTGGTCCTTGATTGATATTGAATATTGATCCTCAATGGTCCTTGAATGATATTTTTTCTCATGGAATCATTTCAAGAAAACATCAAATTTGAATAAGAGGAAGAAAACGGAGGAACGTATTTATAATTCTATTTTGGTCACTATGATGATCTCAATATTACAATTTTACAAATATCGAGGGATATAGTCTTGGTCCTTTTTTTATTTTTTGGGCTAAAGAGTCTTGGTCTCCTTATATTATAAATCGAGTTTACAGTCCTACTCGGATCGTCAGGAATTATATTCCGAGTTTAGTGCCGTCCAACGATCCAACTAGGATTCGATTATTTTGCGTTTCTCTTATGGAAAATAAATAATTGATTTTCTAGGTTTAGTATATTTAGGGTTTATTTTCAGTATTTTAGTAATGGAGCATTGTATCAAATAAGATAAGATATCTAGAAGACTAGTTATAAGTGGTCATTTTACCTTGATTTGATATGTATTTTTTCCCTTTATTAACTAAATAATACACAAATGAAGTTAAATACGATTAAAATAGGGCTAAAGAATATTTTTCCTCCTAAACTCAAAAAAACCTATATTCACTTATGGAAGAAAGGCAACAAAAGAAAGAAATAAAGTTAAAAGAATAGCCAGAGGTGACCCCACTGCACTAACTTAAAAAAAGAAACAGGTAATGCTTAAGAGTATGAATGGACTACTCCCCTCATCACATATATAAATTCCATCAGTCATACAACCACCTAAACGCCTCTGTCCTCAACTATCAGCAAGCATTAACAGTAAATTTTCGATAAGAAATCAAGCATGAAATGTAATAAGATCCAAACTTGGCAATAATACACAACATAAACATAAATAACTAGTTTAAGGCTTTACAATAACTAGCCTCAACCCACAGCATGCTTCCCCCTTGGTTCTACTTACATGTTCCCCTGAAAATTGTTATCCACAATAATGAAACACACGGTACTAGCAACCATACTTCAATTTAAATAGGCATGCAAATATAGTTTTAGAACAAACAAATGAAGTTCAAATCATCTTAGGCAAGTAACATCATAATCTCAAGTGTATCTCCCATGAATTGAAAGAAAAGCTCACTATAGTCATTGTTAACCTCTAGAATTTCATGTCATTTTATCACATTTTTCTTAAATTTTTAATATATTTTGAACCAATTGCACATAATTTCAATACTCAAGTTAGAAAATTGTGCATATTGTTTTGGAAATTCACACCATGGATCTATTTTGATATTTTCACGCTAATTTATTGACATTTTGGTTCAAGGCTATGTTGGGGACATTTTTGGACATTAAGTGATGCTCTGGAAGGTATTAAGATAAAGAAATCTGGTGGAAAGGTGAACAATTTTTGGCTGATAAAGTTAGGGTTTTAGAGTATAGAAAGGTCATTTTCAACTAAGGCTGTCATTTTGGACCTTTTAGGAGTACTTGGAAGCATTAGGTGTGCTAGTGCATGGATTTTGGTGGAGGTTCAGCTTGGATTTGAAGATTAGAAGAGATTTTGGCTTTATATCTTGGTTCTTATGTGTTAACTTCAAGATCCAATCTATGCCATGTGTAGATAACTTCAATATCAACTTTTTCTAGAAATTATCAAATGACATAATTAGAAGAGAAGAGAGAGGGGGAGAGAGAGAGCCAGGGTTCGTTGAGTTGGAGTTTTGGAGCACAGATTGAGGCCTCTCAACTCTCTAGTAAATGATTCTAAGCTCTAATCCACGTCCCTTTTCTATGTTTTAGGTTATTTGAGGTTGATAATTGATGTAAGGGTTAGGGTTCTGAATTCCTCGAGGTTTCTACCAATTAATCTTGGTTTAATGATTATGAATTAAGCCACCTAGGGACTCCTAAAGTGTTTAATTGGTTTATCTTGTTGATTTGAGGTTCTCAGACATATTAGAGCGCAAGTCCTAGCTAGGTTCTAATTGTTGATGATTGTTGATTTGGATGGTGATTACGGTTGATAGAGAATTGTTTGGACTGATTAGTGTTGAGAAAGGTTTGATTAGTATAGATATTGTTAGATTGGATTTTTGTATTTTTGGGAAATTTGAGGCGATGAATGAGGAGCCCAAAGGGATTAATTTGAGGTTAATCATGTGACTATTGGGGGGAAAACTATAATTTAAATTGGTAGAATGACTTTGCCGATTTATTTGGTATTTATGAGAATTCATATGATTTTGTAGATTAAGTTCGGTAATTTGCGCCCTTCAGCTAAGGGGTTTGCAAGGGTAACTCTTTTTGTTCTTTTCTTGATTAGAGGAAACCACATTTAATTTACCTCGTATGTTTGATTTTGTTTCAAGGTGGAATATATAAGATGCAATGTATATTCAAAATAATATGATTTTATGAGAAATTTTTGGTTAAGCAGGATGTTGTATTGATAATTAAATATGTGCATCAATTTTTGAAAAATGAGAATATATCATTTGATTTGGAAGCAAAATTGTTGAGCGTTTATGATGATTGTAATTACTACCATGAGTTGTATATGCTGAATTTATATATGAGTTGTGTTTATTTGGGATGGAGGCTGTTGTTGGAAGTCTTGAAGTGATGATTATTGATCCATTTGACCACATGGTTTGCCACCATTAGGCGCCTAGTGGTTGGCTCACATTCTTAGGCCCCTTGGTGTTTTTCCTTCCTTTTGCTGGGATTGGAGTCATTCCTTGGAACATATGACACCTTTATGGGTCATAGAAAAGAGGGGATCCATGGATTAGTGTTGAGTTTTGCACCTTTGGCTAGGTTGCATCTCACCATTAATGAGCTTGGTGGAGTCCAATCATATGAAAAGATGATCGTATTTGGCTCAGACAACTATGGGTTCAAAAATAATAAGGGTGGTATAAGGATGGCATTTGCATATATGCAATGACATTATATAGTTATACGATTTACATTACATGATTTATTATTTAATTAATATTTATTTATTTACTATTCTTTTATTTTTCCCCACTAGCCGAAGTATCTCTAAAACATGTCTGCATGCATTTTATAATAATTTCATGCGAAGGATTGGGATCTGCGAGGGGGAAGCAAGCAGAGACTTGAGGCAACTGTTGTATGCCATGATTTGAATTATTGCTTGGATGACTGTTAAATGTATTGTTTTGGATCATGACCAATATATATATATATATATATATATATGTATATATATGTATGGACAGTACAATATTGTTTTGGATTGAGAGCTAGTAGCTAGACGGGCCTGAGGTCCTAGTATTTGTGATTCATGATATATATTTTGTTTTGGATTTGTGATTTATGACGACGACGACGAGGGTGTTGTTATAGAGGTTGATTATAATTGTGGGGTATCCTTGTTTTGCCAATGTGCCTTTTCCAACATCATCAATATTTCCAACATCAATATTTTATTATCACAGTGGATATTGTTTAAAAATGTTTTTAGCAAGCGAGGTGTTGCATTTTTGGCAGCAACTATGTTAGTTAGGCACGATGGGTTAAACGAAGAGAGGGAGAGGAAGATGAACGGCTGCGATTATAAAGGTTGAAAGTGACTGCACATGGGTTCTTAATTATAGTTTCATGAACCTCATTCGTCTATTTTATACAAGGGAGATTATTTTAATTAACATCAAATTTTACTATATAATAGATTATATAAAACAAAATTTGCATTGCTAAGGATCAGTACAAGTTGCTCGTGGTG